TCGAGTAAAATGAGATTTACGTCATAAAATTAAGTATAGTTAATAGATCTAGGTTATTTTTCCCAGTTTTTAATAATTAAAAATCATAAATTTCATTTCTCTTTATAAATAATCAATGAAGGTCATTCACTCTTACATAATATCAAGTCAATATATGTAATATGGAATTTAAATACGATTTCGTAGTATTTTGAAATAAATTGCTTAAATAATAAGACGAAAATATTGTAGTAATATTTTTATATTATGAATAAATTAAAGATGACTTAATTTTTTCCAAAAATTACTTTAGTTTTTAGTATTTTTCAAATGAAAAACTTCGTACGATAATTTACCATTCCTTCTAAAAAGATCTGTCATAAGGAAATTCAGTTTGTCACCCTTTTCGAAACTATAAAAGTTTCGGATTTCATCTCCCGAATTCCGTGTAGAAAAATTCTTAAATGTTATTCACCTTTCATTAATTTATACATGTAAACCATATCATATAATTAAGATTTTTTAACTCTCAATCAAATTGTAATTATTTGTCCAGAAGGAAATTTTTCTGTAGAAATAAAAAGATAAAAAAATACCAAAATATATTATTTTCTTTAAAAAATAAAAAGAAATACTGTAAAGAACTTGATATACAAGTAAATATTCTTAACAAGACAGAAACGGCAAAACAGGTGAAATGGCAATGATTGTAAAAGAAAAATATGTTATAAAGGAAAAATTTATTTTAAAATCTAAAAATGTGATATTTTTTCATATAAAATTTTACAATCATAATCAATATTTTATATATTTCTCGTGATTAATTTCGTAATAATAAAACAAGAAACTGATAAGAAATAAAACAGCCGCTATTGTATAAAAAAATTAACCTTATCTATAAAATCTTTTTAAAAATAAATTTTATTTCATTATTTTAAAATTTTACATCTGATTAATCTATATTTTAATGCAATTTTCCGGTTTTTGAATTATGGTGGAAAGGTCCTCATGCATCATTTCATCTTCAATATAAAGCATATCTGATGCCATTATATCATAAACGAAAAATTTCATCATTATAGATATGAAATTCATATCTGTCGTAAGAATTTCGAATTACCAGTAGTCTATTTAATGTATATCGATCGATTTTAATGTACACATTTGTTTTTAAGCATTGAAAAGGCAGAATTTTAAACTTTACAATGCTGCATCTTTATTTTTAAACATTATAACATATCGTAGATCATTTTCCACTGGAAATTCTAAGTTTATACGTTGTAATGTCGCGGCCTTGGATAGAACCCTTGTGGCACCCGGAACCTAATAGTTACCAATCACATCGACCTTGGATCCAATGCTTTGTTTTCACTTAAGTATAACAAGAGTGTGTCCTTGGTTTGTTCTTGGTTATTAAGATCACGATTCTCTCCAAGCCGTTAGAACGAAAATATAGCTGTTGGCTGACAAGTAAAGAAATAAATAGATCATTTAATTTACCTCTGCGCTCGGATAGAACATGGAGTGTGGCCGATTCTATTCAGTTTCTTATTTTCCTGTTGATATTCTATGATGTTGACATAATTGTCTACTCTTAGATAAAAGTTTATGTAGAGAAATAACAGGAAGGAATTATTTTATTAAATGATTTTATGTCTGAGTTAATTTTTTCTGATAAATTTTTGGATAATTTATCTATTTTGATAATGTACAAAATGACCTATTTCACATTGGTTACTTTCATTCGGAAACATTTGTTATTCGTAGAATAACTTGACTAAAATTTACTATTTTCAATTTCTTTTCTTTACAAAAGGCTTTATCTAATTAGCTAAATATTCAAAATTATTTTAGTCAGTCAAATTATTATTGTGTATTTTAGAAAATATATTATCTATGCCAAATTTTTTTCTCGTTATTTTAAGGACACGCGCTTTTTATAATTATTTTTTAGGAACTAGACTTTCGAGACATAAAAAGAAATATATTATTCCTAAATTAAACGCTGATAATTGTTTTAGCCTACATTTTTTGAAACAATTGCATTTAAAAATTTCTCTTATTTGTATGAAAGTCTAACCGTTTCCAATTCGACAAATGAGAAAGTTATTATTCATTGACGTAACAATAGCATTATTATCCTACGAGAAAACTCATTGCATCTTAAAACTCGACTAACGATTGTCCTTATTCACGTTCTAATCACATGTTACGTTTGATTAAACGAGAGTAGGATGCGAAAACATTCAAGATGATCAACGATAGCTATCATATTTATTGCACCGATCTCAATTTTTCTTTATAAGATGTTGCTACAAATTTGCTTAAGGGAGTTGGGCAATGTTCCAACTCTCAAACTTGGATCTGCAACTTTTTTGATAGTTTTTTAAGGTATCGGCAACTTTGATGTCTACTGGCTTCCTAATTTCTGGATAAGTGTGACTAGTTTTTTTGTTTCTGCTTTACTTATAATGGACGCCTACGATATGTTAGAGCTAATTAGGCTAATGAACGATTGGAAATTGTCATGTAAATGTTGTATGCTTATTAGAGAAAATTTTAAACAAATCGATACAATTTCCAATCAGTTATAAAGCATATTTATCAATTTATAGAAATAACAGACTTACATTTCGTGAGAAATTTATCGTAGCCTTCCCACTGTCAGACCTTCAAACAGAAGATTGGGTGGGGGTGGGTGTGTCACGACTTTTCAGATCATGATATTTCTTACGACCTTTCTATTCTTACTGCATATGAAATCTGATTTATAAGAATTTTTACTTCATAAATAAAGTAAAAGTTTGTCTAATCCACGCTTATATAGTCAGTTTAGTCTACATTCCAATCTAATTAGGCTATGTCCTTTTATTTAAATGATCACTTACATTTTAAGTTTGCCGATTGATTAAATAAATATTTAAAGATATATAATAAACTAAAGATTAGTAAACATGTCTTAACCTCAAAATTTACGAAAGACATTTCAAACGGAATAACAAATAAATAACAGGTGCAAAACGTTTAAAATTGCCAGTAGATATACAAGAAAAACTGTCTAATTTCTAAATTTTCTCAATACTTTCACATTTATTAAAATAATAATTAAATAAATTTTAAACATCAATAAGAAATTTGTTTATGATTTTTTAAAAATTACTTAATTGTCGCCATTTTGTGAATTAATTTATTATTTTAAAACTTCTATTTTTAAAATATTTTTATAATTCTCTTGTTTAAATTCTTATAAATATTTAAATATTGTTAAGGCTTTAACAGCCAACATTCTTTTATTTTGTTGTAACAACATCCGTTTTATACGATAGGTTATAGGTGAACAATGTGACTAATTTACTTTATTTCTTTATCGTAGTTTGTAATTACACAGACATATTAATTTTAAGTATCGTGATATCTTACATATTTATTATCAAAATGAATCGGTGCATTAAACGAAGACCTGTAAAAATATTTCATAGAAGATATAAACGTAGCTATTAAGTGTATAATTTCAAGTTAATTTGCTACTGATACTGATCTTTAACAATGCTTTTCAGACTTTTAAATTCTCATTTATCAAAGCCTTTGTCATAGGTACTGTATTTACGATACACTCAATTCATCAGCCAAATTTTCTCTTCATAGGAGAAATTTAAACAGGCCCACTTCACATTCTAACCTAATTTCTCCTGAAACTAAACATAGATGGCTGGAAAAAATCTCCACCTATATGACAGTCTTTCTACACGCTCATAAGTTGATTGATCGATGAATGTTTCATCAATTTAGGACATCAGCTTATTAACTACATCTTTAAAATTAAAGATTCATAGGTTTTTATTAAAACTTCCAAATTAGAAAAGTAACCAATAAATATTAATAATTTTAATAATCATAATTCATCAGTTCAATTGTATACCTCCATTGAATAAAATATTTAAATTTTAACTACGAAATATTGTATTTTCAATGGTTTTTATTGCGTGAAGGATGCGATAAAATTATAAATCGATGACAATTAATAGACAATTAATTAATGTAATTGAAAATAAAACAATAAGTGACAATAAACAGATAAATTACATAAAAGTAACATATATATATATGACAAAGAGATTTTTATCACACCGATCAAAAAAAGGGCGTTTGCAAAATCTGTAATTAAGAGGTTAAACGAGTTTCGTTATTGATATATAATATCAATATCCTTGGCATTTTAACAATATGATGTAATAAGAAATTAAAAATTATTTCAGTCAATAAAAGTAAATCATATTATCGACCTTGCATACTGAGTTCTGAGTATTGCAAGGAAACATTAGCTAATAGATTTAGTAATCTGAATGGAAAACTTATATAGATACACACTTATATAATAAAATAAACTCAATTATATTTGACGTATGTCTAAATAATTTCAAGATATTGTAGAAGTGGTTATATGTTGCTTTCGGGATTCACCTGGAGGCGTTACAACTACTTTTCTAAGCATGAAGTGTGTACTTATTTTAATGAAAAATGTTCACGAAACTGTAACATCAGCCAAACAAGCGAATAACTGAAAATAAAAGTTAAAAATATGCATATAAATCTGTTCATATAATTGTTTTACATAATTTAAATTTAAATAAGGTTTCATTATTCAAATACAAATTACAAAAACAACATCATTATAATTTCAGCTTGTACAATCTTCTTTTCCTACAGCTTATTTAAACATATGTTAATTAACGAAACAATTATGTATTACGTATATAAATATGACGTTTATGTTTAACCAGTTAACCATTTTTAAATATTAAAATCTTACGGAAGCGAAAAGTAGGGCAAAAGAGTATCTTCTTACGGGACCAAATTACGTGAATAGAAAGTGCAGCAGCAGTTAATGCCCTAAAGCATTAATAACAGTGAATGTGGCATGCGATCGACCGGCTGTCCGCCAGGAAACGGGCCTAGTTTTTTGACACGTGATCGGTTTCGCGATTATGCCACCAGATGGCGCGGCCGTTTGTATCCCGTTATTCATTGAATTGACACATATTAGAACGCGGTTAAGTTTGATGTTTTGTTAGTTCGAGTTAAAGCGGTGTCAGGTGCTGATTACTCGTCCGTATCTCACTGGGAGAAGTTTATAAACTTCTTTTATCCATTCACTTTTTCAGATATCAATGCAAGCTCTTTGAATAGCTGGGGAAAAAAACGGAATGATGATACCTTTCTCCTTACTCATCCTTGTTACTTTATTAAGTAAGTATTTACATTCTTTTAAAAATGTTTATTTATTATTTTACATTAAGTTATCATTATCAAGAGCGTAATTTTTTTAAAATAAAGTTATTGATATATATTATAATTTAATTTTCATATGTCAATCTCGTTTCTACTGAAGAACTAGAGCGCTTTAATCTGTATATCGAATGCAACAAGTAGATTAGCTAATATAAAAGTATAATTTTTACGTGATAGTTTTATATCTACTATTAACTGTCTTTGCAAATAATATATTTCCACACCACATGTGGATATTTAAGAAATATAGGGCCTATATATAAAAACATTGCCTGAAGTCATTTTACCAACTTTTGTAATTTAATAAATTTAACCCATTTTCTAATAAAAGGACGCGTATATTAAGATCACATTTTAATATTAGTGCATTTATGAAGTTAACGTTTTTAGAACAAACTAATATATATAATTTTTTTAAATATTAAACTTAATATATATTATATTTCCTCTTTAAATATGCACTAATTTGAAAATTAAAACAGTTCACATGCTTATAATGTATTTAATACTCATTTAGAGGAAAATAATAATAATTCTTTTAAAGGTAAAATAATAATAAAAAATATAATTTTTTATTTTTTTTAACTTCAAGCTCTCTTTTATATTAATTAAACTTATCAGAAATAAGCAACTTACTTTAGTTTTATTTTATTAAATTAATTCTTTATTATTTCATTATTTGAAAAATTATGAAAATTAGAATTCATTGCGAATTTTTTAAAGCTTTTACAAATTCTTAATTTTAATATAAAAAATTATACAAATTTATCGAAACTTTATACGAAATCTTTTGTAATTGCATTTAGTAATTGCAAAATTATTAAATAGTTTATCAAGAGATTTGATTTCAAAATTTACAAAATTAATAGAAAAAAAATCTTGTTTTTATAAGTTTGAAATATCTTTATTGTTACAAAATTATAATCGTAATATTTGCAAAAAATATTTTATGTAAAAGGTTAAAATCGCTAATCTAGTTTTCTAATGGAAAAAAAGAATTTCGGCTTAGTGTAAGAAAAAGAATTAAAATCTTAACAACCATAAAATTTTTTTTCTTTCTTTCTTTTCTGCTGTACTGAACACGGATCAAATCCTCATCAGTACTTAGCAAATAGTATTCAAATAATTCCTTTTGTTCTACCCACTAATGTAATGCCTACTCTTACTATCAAATATACAATTAAATCCATTCTATTGCTAAAAAGAAATTAATGTATTTAGTAGATGTTCGATGCAATCAAGCTAGAAGAAGAGCGTAGGCTAAAACTATTATTGTTAAAGGGTGTGGTACTATCAAAATCCAGGTTACTTCTTTTCGAGCTTAAGACAAGAGAATTACAGACTTCAAACTGATATTTAGAAATATTTCGAGACTAATGAGGCCTCTATGAAGCAAGTATCGTATTGTTAACAATACATGAGACATTAAAACAAATGCATGAAGCTTTCTGTAATCTATATGCGGAAAATTCCTGTGCTACATCGAAATTATAATTAGTTCTAAGGGTGAAAAAAGTTTCAAACCATAATTATAAATTACACTCTTTTTTGAATAGTCATATAATGGTTTTTAGCGTGTTTTAGTCACGTGATGGCAAAAAATTAATAATTTTCGAATGACATAAAATTATTATTATTATTAATTTTTACATTTATCTTTAGAAAATGGACGAATAGTAAGCTACAATAATTTTGACTGATTTTCTTTTATGAAATAATATTTAAAATCAATTATATAATGCCTTTTTTGCAGGTACAGGTACCTCATTATCAATAATATCGTCAAACGGAACAGTGAGTATTTGTCTGTTTTATGCAAATCTAATTGAAACTATTACATTATCATGATAAAATAAACATTTTTCGATAGAAAGATTTAACTATATTACTGATAATAACATCATATTTAGCGGAGTTAATGAGTTATAAATGGCAAATAAAGCTTTATCATGTTTAGTGAAGTGATATTTTATAACATCACAAAAGAAATTATAATTATTCTTAATAAGATTAATTTACCAGAGACAATTTGATTGTTTATTTTATAAAATAAAAATTGCATTAACATTAAAATAATGATTTTTGCTTGATTGAATAAGTGGTTACAATTGTTTTGACTAGAACGTAACCTTATGAAGATCGACCTTCTTTCAACTGAAGCGTTATATTGAAGTTTGCATTCGTTAGAGCGTTAAGAAATCTGTTGTCTACTTTTTGTTAAGACTAGAAAATTACTCTTATTGCGGTCGTTCGTCGATTTATAACATTTATCCTCAATCGTATAAAATTTTAACCCAACGAAAAATACTTCGAGTAGCTCATACAAATAAAAATTTCTTGCCTTACCCTATTTATTTAGAACTTTTGAAAATTATGTAACCTCTCGGCCATTCTTAAAAGAATTTAAACCATAAAAATATAAATAATAAATTCCCCGGAAGACATCAAAATAATTGTCATTTACATTATCCAGTCAGTCACGCTTAAGGGTCTTAAACTGCAAAGGCCTATAGCCTATGGGAATTTTCAATTGAACATAATGAATGCATACGGGTGATATGGGTAACAGGCTAAATGCTTAAGGTTAAGGAACATTAGACTACGATTAAAAATAAAAAGGAAACGTGACTAGACCTATAGGTAAACGAAACAAAACAATGCAAATGAGATCAAGTTCAGGTATTAAAGAAATGAAAGTTATAATTCGAGGAGGAAACTTTTCACTATTCGGAAGGAAATATGAGCGTAAAATAAGATCGATGAGATTGTTCAGTATGACTATAAGATACGATAGCCATGTAGAAAAATCAGTATCCACGAACCGAATAATAGACATAAGTTGAACTAAAATATGTTAAGTTTAACTTCAATTTTTATATTTTAAACTGGACTATGTTTCTTATATTTTAATTATTTTAAAAAATATAAAATTAATTTAAAAACTATATAACAAAAATTAAAATTTTTCAATATAAAATACGAATTTGTATATATAATAAAATAATTAATCCATAATTCTGGATTAATTATTTTCTTTCCTTTTTCTTTCATTCTTTATTTCTATGTTTTACATTTTCATTCTTTACTTCTAACTTTCCTGTTTGCAGCAGCATATTTTATCTCATTATTAAACTACAACTGTACACTATACAGATCTTTACGAATTAATAAAAATTTTTTGAACAGAATACGAATGTCATTTGGCAAAAATAAATAATCTTAGAATATGCATAATCATTACCATACAATATGAAGAATGCATCACGTATATAATATATACATATATATAATAAATATAAATAGGATATACATATAAATAGTACATGTATATAGGATATATACATATACTATTTATATGTATATATCCTATATACGTGATGCATTCTATATACTTAATATGTACAGTACTGTACTATATACTATATGCATCCTATATACTTAATTACTTTATAATATTATTAAATAATGTATTATAATATTATTAAATATTATAATACATTATTTAATAATATTATAAAGTAATTATTTCTTTAATAACTTAAAAATAAAGAACGATTTAATTAGTATAAATCGTTCTTTAATATGCTCTTATCGCGCTGTGATGAACCTATCTTCACTTGTACTTAATACAGATTCATGATGAATGACGTATTTTAATATACAAATTCATTTAATTAATACATAAAATTAAGTATACGAAGTACAGCACATGATATTAAAATTTACAATAAGGTTTTATGTATATCTTAATATGAACACGTATGGAAACATTAATCAATCAAATTAAAAATGTGGAGGTCTACATGTAAATCAAGTATTGTCATTCAACAATTCCTTATTTAACGATAATTCCTTTATTCTTCGTAAACAGACTTAAAATTCAAAATATAATTGTAACTTTATTGCTTTTAGCAGACATAACATAATTCCTTTTGGCAAGTTATAAATTCTATATCAATTAAATATTAATTTAAAAGTAAAAAATCCTTGAAAAGTTATGTGCAAAAGTTTTAATTATAAGTGTAGGATCATAAACAGTAAATATCCTTCCTAGTAAATAGCAAAAATATCGCGATATACTTAAGTCAGGAATGCAGAAATCAAAATACCTGACAAGATAACTGTCGGCTGATTTCCAAATTACTTTCGTGACTGGAAGGTACAGTATAAAGTTCCCTTTAAAATATCTTTGGGTGCCAAAATTCACTATTAATTTAGTATCAAGAACCTTATCTTGAACGACATTTGAAGGCTATAATTATCATAAGAAACTGGTATGGTACTCATTATTCAAAAACCATAACCTAATTTTGATAAAGCATATAACCTTCGAATATTTTTCCTTTTCTTGGTCGTTTTAAGGCACTTGATATTTACAAGTCGAATTAATTTTAAATAATAAAATGTTAAGTAGGATGCCGTTCAATGAAATCTAAAAGGTCTTTAATTCTATTCCTTAATATCTAAATGTTTCATTCATATTTTTGTATGTCAAAGAAAGCGAGTTTTCCATTGATATGCTCTGGAGTTAACCCCAAAGTCTAAGAGGATAGTAAAGTATTTATCGTTATCGAAAGTCATGAACTAGTATTAAATAGGTCGGACGCTACCTACAATCAAAATTTTAATGATTGATTGATTATATTTATTATAAAAATTTTTATTGATGTGGCAATTTCACTAATTTTCAAAAATGTCTGCAGGTGAAATTTACTTAATTAGTTATATAATTCAAAAGCCTAATTGTAATAGAATACCTTAAATTTTAAGTATGGGCCTTATTATTTCGATATTAATTCCTCGGTGTTATTTAAATTGCCAAAAATTCATTTCAGATGAAAAATACAATTTAATTGGCGTTTTTTTTTATTCCTTTAAGAATTTTCAACATTTGATTAAATAACTTAAAATCTGATCATTAAAAGTTGAAGCCAACTTAACGTTGCAGTTTCTATTGTTAAATAATTGATTAGAATCTAAGTTCCTATCATTTTTATTGAAAAAGTCATTATTCACTATTAATAAGAAACAACAACTTAAAAAAGGAATCTAAAGTTTCATAGTCGAGTGTTTATCATTTGTCATCACAATAGACTTTTTATAAGTATGCTTTATAATTGGATACCCTGAAGGACATGGATGTACTCTTTCTTCTTCAGCACGCTTAATTCTATACACCGGTTATGAGGTTATTGTTTTCGACACCTAGATACAGGTAGAACGGATACATTAATATAACTTTTTTTAAGATTCGGGAAGAGTTATAACTAAATGATCTAATATTTAGATCCATTGAAAGTGAATCACGAACAAAAACAGTGTTTTTTGAATAACCTCTCATGTTCTACAAATAATTAGGTTAATATATTTATGAAAATATTTAAGCTGCTTCCTAACATAAATAATGATATTCAAAACTTAAGTTTATATCTTGTTAAAGATGATGCTATTTTAGTAATATGTGTCGAATGTAATTAGTTATTTTTATTTTTTAAAAATTTAATCTGATAACAAGCATATTGTAGCGTTACCCATAAGTTTTTTTTTATCTTGTAAGTGGAGGTGACTTGTTAACCTTACTTAATTCTTTATGTCTGAAAAAATAGTAAGGTACTGAAGATATGTATAGATCTTAATAACAGAATAATAGCACATTTGGTAATGTTGTCTGTCGTGTTTTTTATTCTAATCTTTTTCATGGAAATATAACACTATAATTATTGTTAGTTTTATAGTTTGAATTAATTTAAACACATATCCGGATAAATACCGTTCTAACTAATGCTCAAGGATATTATTTTATGATTCAATATAAATACTTACTTTATATTTTTATTTCTCATTCAGTTAAAATTGTGTTAGTAATCACATATTAAATTCTTAATATAGCTGTTATATATTTAAATAAATTTATAGTATATGAATTTCTTTTATATTCGTTTCGACAACTTGCTGAAGTTACTTCCTGATCTTTAAAAAAAAATTAACTATTTTCCTAAATTTAATTGCTTCATCCCAATTATCTGTGTTAGCGATCTATTTTATTTCTTCGTAATCTTATTCATTAAATAAACACATCAGATGACTTAAAAAGCCTACTTTAAAGGAAGAGGTTTGCCTTTATAAGTTGAATTTATTTAATATTTAATTATTTTGATAAATAAATTTATATGCTATCTAAAAAACAAGCTTACTCTAAGTTTACATCTAAATATGATTTATGAATTAAATAAAAAATTTAATCCATAAATGAACAATATGGTCCTTTAATCACGTTTTATTAAACTGTTTATAAATGCTCATCAAGAAAAAAATAGTCTAATTTCAGTTTGTCAGAAACAAGGTCGCCAGGTGGTCACTTATAACTTTTACCCACCCTTTTACCTTGAGTTCAGGATTAATTTGCTTATAGGCATGCAAGCGTAAGGATACTTTTTGCAGTTTTCAGTTTTTAATAAACGTGACAATTTTAATAAATTTAGTTCATTTTTTTTCCTATTTCAAAATCTTTTCTTTGTTAATTATCTTAAATTTATATTAGACTATATTTTTATTATTTTAATATAGTATTTTAATTATAATTAACGTATTCCGTATATCCATTAACATCAACTATAATGCCTCCGTAAAACGAGTTTAAAATTAATAACTAAGTAATATGGGCATTACTATTTGTAAACAACTTTATCGAAAACTTACAATAAAAATTATTGATTAGTATTATTAAAACATTGAACTAAATATAAACCATGATTGAATGCTAACATTGTTTATGAAGTAATTTATAATAAATTCAGGTTAACGCCTGTGGCTAATAGTCGAGCAAAAAGATCACGTATTTAAATTAATTTCCTTATTTTAATTTTGCTAAAGATGTTATAGGCTTGTATACTAAACATTGCAAAAATATATATTTAGAAAAAATAACAACAAAAATTTATTAAAAATCATATTTTGATTGTGATCTGAATTATAAATTTACATTTTAATACACTTACTAGATAAGAGATAAATATTTTAATAGTGTGTTAGTTATATATTCATCAATAACAGTGTTATTTATTATAACAATTAATAAGTTCTCAAGTTAGCCTTTATGTTTTATTAATCACGCATTGTAGTTTGAGAATTTTACATATGTATATCAAACATCATTATTTAATTTTTGAATATATTTGTGATAAAATTAACAAAATTAATAAGAAATAAATGGTAAAGCTTTATTAAAATTTATTTTAAAATTTAACAAACCGATTTATTTTATCCTAATTTTATTTATTAAATTATAATAAACTTATTACGAAGTATTGATCACAATCAGATATGCAATATTGTATTACGTATGCTTTAATAGTACATTTATAAATGATATTTAGCTTTAAAAAGTACAAGATATATAAAGTATCGCTACATTACAACGTAAAAAACCATTTTATCATAGTTTATTAGCATATTATGAAATGTGAAATTTATTGCTTATTGATTACGAAATTAGCCTATTAATGATAAAATAATGCAAATTAAATAAAAATACAAAAAAACCGTATAAAAATACAAGAATCGAATTCAGTAATACAGACCAAGGAATATCTAAAATCTCGAATTACCATCACGTAGAATGCTGAAATAATCGCAAAGAAAATTCAATACAAATTCTCAAATTACACAGCATCTTTTAAAACAAAGCATGGATTCTGATAATGGAACTAGACATATCCTGAGGTAATAAAAACATTCGGCGTGATGCTGGCAGGTGCGAGGTACATGTGTTGTTGCTGTTTAGGGAAAAAAAATATTTAAAAAAAAATGAAAAATTATTCAATATTTCCTACAGTTCTTTACACAATACAAACTTCCTAAAGTTAACATTTCATACTATTATAAAAATCTATTTTATCTTTATAAATATACATTACATAGAGTTATTCACAGAATTAAAAGAAAAAAAATCTTCCTGTAAATATCTAGAAATTCATTTTATGCCTGAAGCCAAACCTGATTCTGTCTACAAGAACATAATTTTGAAAAATGGATGCAAATAATGGTAGTAGTGCAGATATTCCTGTTTATGTAATAAATTTCAGGAATAATGTATAATAGGTTTACTAGTTATTTAATAGAATAAAAGAGATCTTTTGTATATATAATTCATATACTGGGTCTGATTCGGATTATTCTTAACTATTTTAATTATTAATCTACGTTTAAACTCTGTTTGCAAGTACAAATATATTATCGTCAAAGCAATTAATACCCAATTAAAATCTATATATTTTAATTTCTTAAATTCATTAGTTTTGTAATAACTATTTTGAAAATAATATTTATTTCAAAATGACACAAAATAGATTTGGCCTATATTACATTTATTAGGCCTTATAATTCTAAAATAACAGAGCTAAAGTTAAGCAAATGTCACATTTGACTTTGAATTTTTAAGTAATAAATATATGTTGTGAATGTAGTTTTATACTGGTCTAAACATAACTTTATTTAAGTTAATACTTTGAATTATAGATTCATATACTAAAAATCCCAAGTTTACAAAATGGTAATTTTGGGAGCAAACGAGTAGTTCTGCGATTAATGTGAACTAATTTCAAGACAGGGTTTTTATGAAAATAGGTTATTATTTTTTCAATAAACGCTATTAAGTGATATCTCTTATTAAATATTGATTAGATAAGGTTTATTGATTTTCTACTGTGTACGTATTTTGAAAAATGGACAAAAAATAAGTTATGGTAATCAGAATGCATTAAAAATTAATTACATTTTTAAACGAAATTTAAAATTATTTAGAAATGTTAAACCAAAATGTTTATATTAAGCGATCTATTATTTTTAATTTTAAACAAAAATTGCAAATAAATTAAAGTAACACTGTATTGTTTTTAATTATTGAATTTTTTATTACTAATAATAAGAGTAAGACACTTAATTTAAATATTATACTGTATTAAATTTATGACTGTAAATTTAATATATAATGATTAAAAAGAGAATTCATTTTAACTAAACTTTAAAAAAATAAAGATGATATTTATATGCGGACGAAGCAGATACCATTTGCATGCATTATAGAACATGCTCCCAATAACCCAGTCACTCAAGATAAGAAATGCCACACCTTGCATTGAGAAGTTTCATTCATTCTCTAGAGAAGGAAGTTTTGCTAAATCTCTGTAGATAGCATGCTAGTATTGCCTGGAGATCAGACGACAGACTACATCATGCAGAAAGGAGAACAAGCGTGTGGCTAATTTAGTAACCATGAGATAAGAAAAAATCTGTAACTCTTAAATATCTTTTAGAAATAAATTGAGAAGGAAACATATAACATTTTTTTCCGTATAAGTTAATTCTGTTTGTTAGTGGCTTAACAAAATTATAAAATTTACACGTTCAAAGAAGTTTTTAATCGTTCTAATGACATTTTAAAATTAAACTAATTATTTATCAATCTATTAGTTCCTGTTTAATTGATTTAATTAAGCAGGAAGTGATATAAAACATACAATTAAATTAAATATTTTTGAATATTTTTGCGATAATCTATATAAACGAAAAAACCTGCGAATGATTCGTAAGTTAATTCAGGTTAAAAGTATCAAAGGTATTTAAATTTTTATGGTAGTTAAAATTAGATATCGTGAAGACATTGTCAATACTTATTCATTAATATTCATAGCCATATTGCCAAGATGCTCCTGTAGTTTGACGACTGCATTCGTTTTTTTTTTTAAATATTTAAAGCTATAGGCTAAACTCGATTCTTTATTTTTTCGACACTTCCTCAATGTTTATTGTTTATGAATTTATAAGGCATTGCTGTAGGGTTTATTTTTTTATCTAAGAAAAAAGTTTAAGTTCTATCCTGCGGTGTTTTATTTTTCACATTCTAAATAGGACTGTACAGTATAAAAAATCGAGATAAATTTTCATCCTGATATACATTTAAATTAAATAGAAGTTATTAAATTTTAAAAATCTTATTATTCATTTTATTATTAATTTAATAAGGACTTAAACAGAGATAAATAAAATCAGTTTTATATACTTATTAAATTATCAGTGCTAAAGAAAATTTAATTATTTAGATTTGTAATAAATTAGATCATGAAGCCATTAAATAATCTGGAGCCATTTTAAAAAGGAAAAAAAATGGTTAAAGGCATTAAAACACTTTAACGATAAAATAAAACTGATGTTTTTTACCTCATTAAATTGGCAAAGTTCTGATGAAAGATTATTCACAATATCACTATTATGGTTATATTTTATAAGAAATGTACCGATAATCGTGATCGTTAAATTATCTTACAAGATCATTATAGAAGTTAACACAAATTTAATTTATAACAATCTATTATACAATCAATTTTATTTTCATATTCGATGCTAAATTTCGATGAAGCAATCTTATATCGATATTTATAATTTAGTAATTTTATTTGATTTTTTTTTTATTAAAATAAGTAATCATATAAAAATTAATTCAGATCTTTATATAAAATTAACAAAACTTCCATAGTTGAAATTCAACTTCTTGTTCAAAATATTAAATTATATAGCTAACTTTATGATAACATCAAAAAGGAAAAATTATTTTGCTGGTCTTTATATCTTTCAAACTTTATGAATATTAAATAAGTTTGTTTAAAGGGAAAAAAATGACGGGAAATGCTTTTGACGGGTTTGCTGCAATAAGTTTCATAAAAATTTGATTGTTATATAAAAGTTCACAGATTTTCAAATTTTGTTTGTAAACTGTACTGTACGTTTAAAATATTTATGATATTTACTGAGTTTATAGTTATTAATTTAATCCATCTTGCTAATATATCGAAACTAAAGGAATTTTTTTTATCTCAGTACGAAGGTATCCAACAATATTGTTAGTATTTTTTCCTCTTATGGTATTTTATAAATTTATTTTCGATAGCCTATGTTATATTATTTTTGTAAAGTAAAATTATTTTAACAGAACAAAGTGTATTGTACACTATATACAAAATTTCTTTAAATATTTTAATATAATAATAAAAATTTAAGTTATTAAAAATTTAAGAAGTATCGAAGAAGTTATTCATTTTTTTTTACAAAATTTATATTAAGACCAAGCAGACACCGGTCCAACTATTTATTTTGAGATATTTACTAGTTGAAAACTGCAAAACACATGATATATTATAGGTGTTAGTAAAAGAAGAGGTTAATCCAGGAAGGAATAATACCAACTTTCGAAGATTTCCTTTTACATGGAGACGAGCACATTTTCCCATTATTCCACCTCGTCTTAGAGTAAAATCTATCAATCGAGTGGTATCGTCGACAACCAGCACAACGACAACGACGACAACAACAGAAACAATTCCAACTGATTCAAATATTCGACCAATTGATATATTTGAAATTTCTTCATCGGATAACAGTCCAGCTATTGTATGGCCTGTGCCAAGAAGACCTGCATCTAGAAGATTCCGAACTCCTTCATTCACAACTTCTGCACCTAGGGTATTACCAAAGTTGCTTCAACCGAAACCCACTCGCCCAGCAATATACAGTTTGGATGGATTTGTACCGAAACCTTCTATACAACGAATAAGCACTACTGAAGCACCACTAGAAATTCGCCGACAATATCTTCTTACTAACAACAACAACAACAATAACAACAACAACCACAACAACAACAACAACAATAATAATAATAATCTACACGAGAAACGAAAAAAGAAGGTATCAATTGTCATTTTGAAATATATTTTTTAAGAACCTAGATTATTATTTATCTCTATATTTACTTCCTTTTAGCAGAAAAGTCGCCAGTCTCTTTACGAAGATGACGATGATAAAGGTGATAAATATGGTTTAGGTCGACGTAAAAAACCTGTTAGCAGATATACAGCTTTCGCCAGGAAAGGTATACCAGGTATAGATTATCCCGTCAATGTCAGAATACCTCAGACAAACTTTGATTGTAGCTCACGACTTGGTCCTGGACTGTATGCTGATCCTGAAACAGACTGTCAGGTAGGTTTGGACAAAATAAGGTCAGATAATGAGATAACTATTTGCAGATATAACTGCCTTTATATTCATAAAACTACACTGAATTTAAAGCTTAGTAGTTACACAGCTGATAACTGATAAAGAACCCTATGTTATTTCTCTATCTATTCAAGACAGAGAAGGGAACAACAGTCAATGTTCATTGTTTCGAACAAACAGAATTCAAAAAAATTTTATAAAATTATTTAAATATTTCTCTTAACGTTGTGGTGGACGAATTCTCATTCGTCCACCACAATATTAAGAGAAATATTTAAATTACATATTGATTGTTTTCTTACATACTGATATGAATTCTATAAGAATTTTAAACTATTATTACTTTTTAAAATTTCTTATTGTTATTGTCTAAATGTCTTCAAAGATCCAGCATACGATGTCAGAATATACACTCAAAGAAAACATACCTTGAAGACATATTCTTATGTCTGCAAGGTATGTTTGCTTATAAAGTATACTTAAAATATAGAGTATGTATTAAATATATATTAGTTAAATTTTCTGCGGACCAAATTTGATCTTAATAGGTCACTTTAACGCTCACCATTAACATCAATAATAATTTTATCATCATATTGATGATGATGATAAAATTATTATTGATGTTGAGTGTTGATTTTATATTAAATTTTTATTATAATTATATTTAATATATTATATAAAAAGTTAGAAGAGTTGTACAATAAAAATAGTTCAACAGCAACACGAAAATTCCAAATTAAATAAATCTTTCTAGTTAGAATAATTCATATTATTTTAAACAAACTCAAACACTTTAAAGTTACTTGATACGGATTATTATAAATTAAGCTTTATTTAGGAGATTATTAGTATGCTCTTGTCAGATTAATTTATGAACAAGGAATCGAAAGATTTATTGTTCAATTTATATGAAGAAACCTAAATTCTCAAAATTAGGGCATTATACAACTATAATCTAGAACAACTTTTATGTATTCGTATCATTTTTCGAAATATATCAAGTCAAGTTATAAAGTACAACAGTTTATATTCAACTCAAAATTTTATAAATTATTCTTTTTCAGGTATGGCACATGTGTCCCGGTGGTAGCCTCGTACCGCGTCACAGTTTTCTCTGTCCAAACGGAACAATTTTCAACGAATTTAGAAGAATTTGCGATTGGTGGTACAATGTGCGCTGCGAAAAGGACGACACGAGGAAACGAAGGTCTGTAGACGAATTGGCTCCCGTCTTCCAACTTTAAATATTGATCCACCGTTTATAAACATTATCATCTATGTAAATATGTATTCATCTGGAGAACAGTGTAAAGGCTCAACTAACTAAACTTCTTATTCCTTCAGCAATCATTATTTATGGGATTTTGATTAAGATTCAGTTCGAGATGACTGATATTTAAAAACAAACAAAAATATTTCATTAAGAATACGACTTATTCTTATGAAATTTTCCATTTTGTATATAGTCTATCCTTTGTAAACGAAATGTATGTTAGATATAACAACATTACATTCATTTAATAAAATTGCATTCTGTAAATTTTCAAAAAAACTGTAACTAAAATATGCGCTTCAATAGAAGATACAACTGAAAGATATACGGCATGTAAATTTAAGATGTATATTTTTCATATAAATATAAAAACTGACTAAAATCAAAATTTTAAGTCATGGAATAATTCAAGAAAGGGAATTGTTAAGAAAAGACTTTTATAATTGCATAATTTGCACAAGTATTTTTATAATTGTTTTAAAGTAAAGTTATTATTTTTAATCTTTGAACGTTTGAGTTAACGGTTTTCAATATTCTTCTATCGGAAAATACTTTTATAATTGCATAATTTGCATAAGTATTTTTATAATTGTTTTAAAGTAAAGTTATTATTTTTAATCTTTGAACGTTTGAGTTAACGGTTTTCAATATTCTTCTATCGACATCTATTTTATTAATTTTTCAGAAAATAATAAAATTCACAATCCAAATTTCTAATCAATAACTAAATTTGGACTATCAGAAAAACTCATTTATCTCATTTTAAAATTTAAAATTATTACGTTTATTAAATCATTTTTTAAAGTGAAATTTTNATAACTGCCTTTATATTCATAAAACTACACTGAATTTAAAGCTTAGTAGTTACACAGCTGATAACTGATAAAGAACCCTATGTTATTTCTCTATCTATTCAAGACAGAGAAGGGAACAACAGTCAATGTTCATTGTTTCGAACAAACAAAATTCAAAAAAATTTTATAAAATTATTTAAATATTGATTGTTTTCTTACATACTGATATGAATTCTATAAGAATTTTAAACTATTATTACTTTTTAAAATTTCTTATTGTTATTGTCTAAATGTCTTCAAAGATCCAGCATACGATGTCAGAATATACACTCAAAGAAAACATACCTTGAAGACATATTCTTATGTCTGCAAGGTATGTTTGCTTATAAAGTATACTTAAAATATAGAGTATGTATTAAATATATATTAGTTAAATTTTCTGCGGGCCAAATTTGATCTTAATATCTTGACAGGTCACTTTAACGCTCACCATTAACATCAATAATAATTTTATCATCATATTGATGATGATGATAAAATTATTATTGATGTTGAGTGTTGATTTTATATTAAATTTTTATTATAATTATATTTAATATATTATATAAAAAGTTAGAAGAGTTGTACAATAAAAATAGTTCAACAGCAACACGAAAATTCCAAATTAAATAAATCTTTCTAGTTAGAATAATTCATATTATTTTAAACAAACTCAAACACTTTAAAGTTACTTGATACGGATTATTATAAATTAAGCTTTATTTAGGAGATTATTAGTATGCTCTTGTCAGATTAATTTATGAACAAGGAATCGAAAGATTTATTGTTCAATTTATATGAAGAAACCTAAATTCTCAAAATTAGGGCATTATACAACTATAATCTAGAACAACTTTTATGTATTCGTATCATTTTTCGAAATATATCAAGTCAAGTTATAAAGTACAACAGTTTATATTCAACTCAAAATTTTATAAATTATTCTTTTTCAGGTATGGCACATGTGTCCCGGTGGTAGCCTCGTACCGCGTCACAGTTTTCTCTGTCCAAACGGAACAATTTTCAACGAATTTAGAAGAATTTGCGATTGGTGGTACAATGTGCGCTGCGAAAAGGACGACACGAGGAAACGAAGGTCTGTAGACGAATTGGCTCCCGTCTTCCAACTTTAAATATTGATCCACCGTTTATAAACATTATCATCTATGTAAATATGTATTCATCTGGAGAACAGTGTAAAGGCTCAACTAACTAAACTTCTTATTCCTTCAGCAATCATTATTTATGGGATTTTGATTAAGATTCAGTTCGAGATGACTGATATTTAAAAACAAACAAAAATATTTCATTAAGAATACGACTTATTCTTATGAAATTTTCCATTTTGTATATAGTCTATCCTTTGTAAACGAAATGTATGTTAGATATAACAACATTACATTCATTTAATAAAATTGCATTCTGTAAATTTTCAAAAAAACTGTAACTAAAATATGCGCTTCAATAGAAGATACAACTGAAAGATATACGGCATGTAAATTTAAGATGTATATTTTTCATATAAATATAAAAACTGACTAAAATCAAAATTTTAAGTCATGGAATAATTCAAGAAAGGGAATTGTTAAGAAAATACTTTTATAATTGCATAATTTGCACAAGTATTTTTATAATTGTTTTAAAGTAAAGTTATTATTTTTAATCTTTGAACGTTTGAGTTAACGGTTTTCAATATTCTTCTATCGACATCTATTTTATTAATTTTTCAGAAAATAATAAAATTCACAATCCAAATTTCTAATCAATAACTAAATTTGGACTATCAGAAAAACTCATTTATCTCATTTTAAAATTTAAAATTATTACGTTTATTAAATCATTTTTTAAAGTGAAGTTTTATTAATAAAAAATAAAATAAAAAATATATAAGTATAACCTATAGAATAATAATTATAGGATTAATTTTTTATATTTTTCATTATAACATAAAAAAATCTCAAAAATTTATAATTTTTCATTTTTTATAATAAATATTGCGAAAAAAAGTTTCATGAAAGATATCTGCAAATATATCTTTTAAAAAAATAGCAGATTATTTATATACATACAAATTTATATTAAATTTGATATTTTATAGTAATAAGCTATTTTCTTAAAAGCCTGGAATATAAAGTATCCTTAGATTATTTATTAAATTTACAGATCTTATAAAATTATTTATTAAATATATTTTATAAATATAAGTTCATGTAATCATGTTGTATATCTGTATTTTAAAGGAGATAAAAATTATATTCATCTCGTTCTGTAAACTCTATTTTCGTTAAGAATAATTTTGCTGTTTAAATTAAATTTCATAAGAAATTTTTAAATATCGTTCTTGAAAGTTGATCAAATCTTTTATAAAACTTCATCATTTTTTATTTGGCCAGTTTATGTAACAAAATCTAAGCTTGTTATAATGTAGCTAGATTTAAATTAAATAAAGATTAATCATGAAGCACAATACAGATTTGTTTAATTGAATAATTATTTATTTTATATTTTTATATCTTGAATAGTTATTTTTTACCGAAGCAGTACATTTCGTTATGTTTATCCAAATTTTTCGGTGTCTAAACATTAATATTGATACTTAAACATTTTTATTCTTATGAATTATTAAATAATACTTTATGAGAAATGCAATATAAATTCTAAAATATATACAGTGAAACCTGTGTAAACCGGACTCTTACGGTACCGAATATTTTTTCCGATTTGGCAGGTTCCGTTTTGGACAGGTTTATATACTTATTAAATTATCAGTGCTAAAGAAAATTTAATTATTTAGATTTGTAATAAATTAGATCATGAAGCCATTAAATAATCTGGAGCCATTTTAAAAAGGAAAAAAAATGGTTAAAGGCATTAAAACACTTTAACGATAAAATAAAACTGATGTTTTTTACCTCATTAAATTGGCAAAGTTCTGATGAAAGATTATTCACAATATCACTATTATGGTTATATTTTATAAGAAATGTACCGATAATCGTGATCGTTAAATTATCTTACAAGATCATTATAGAAGTTAACACAAATTTAATTTATAACAATCTATTATACAATCAATTTTATTTTCATATTCGATGCTAAATTTCGATGAAGCAATCTTATATCGATATTTATAATTTAGTAATTTTATTTGATTTTTTTTTTATTAAAATAAGTAATCATATAAAAATTAATTCAGATCTTTATATAAAATTAACAAAACTTCCATAGTTGAAATTCAACTTCTTGTTCAAAATATTAAATTATATAGCTAACTTTATGATAACATCAAAAAGGAAAAATTATTTTGCTGGTCTTTATATCTTTCAAACTTTATGAATATTAAATAAGTTTGTTTAAAGGGAAAAAAATGACGGGAAATGCTTTTGACGGGTTTGCTGCAATAAGTTTCATAAAAATTTGATTGTTATATAAAAGTTTACAGATTTTCAAATTTTGTTTGTAAACTGTACTGTACGTTTAAAATATTTATGATATTTACTGAGTTTATAGTTATTAATTTAATCCATCTTGCTAATATATCGAAACTAAAGGAATTTTTTTTATCTCAGTACGAAGGTATCCAACAATATTGTTAGTATTTTTTCCTCTTATGGTATTTTATAAATTTATTTTCGATAGCCTATGTTATATTATTTTTGTAAAGTAAAATTATTTTAACAGAACAAAGTGTATTGTACACTATATACAAAATTTCTTTAAATATTTTAATATAATAATAAAAATTTAAGTTATTAAAAATTTAAGAAGTATCGAAGAAGTTATTCATTTTTTTTTACAAAATTTATATTAAGACCAAGCAGACACCGGTCCAACTATTTATTTTGAGATATTTACTAGTTGAAAACTGCAAAACACATGATATATTATAGGTGTTAGTAAAAGAAGAGGTTAATCCAGGAAGGAATAATACCAACTTTCGAAGATTTCCTTTTACATGGAGACGAGCACATTTTCCCATTATTCCACCTCGTCTTAGAGTAAAATCTATCAATCGAGTGGTATCGTCGACAACCAGCACAACGACAACGACGACAACAACAGAAACAATTCCAACTGATTCAAATATTCGACCAATTGATATATTTGAAATTTCTTCATCGGATAACAGTCCAGCTATTGTATGGCCTGTGCCAAGAAGACCTGCATCTAGAAGATTCCGAACTCCTTCATTCACAACTTCTGCACCTAGGGTATTACCAAAGTTGCTTCAACCGAAACCCACTCGCCCAGCAATATACAGTTTGGATGGATTTGTACCGAAACCTTCTATACAACGAATAAGCACTACTGAAGCACCACTAGAAATTCGCCGACAATATCTTCTTACTAACAACAACAACAACAATAACAACAACAACCACAACAACAACAACAACAATAATAATAATAATCTACACGAGAAACGAAAAAAGAAGGTATCAATTGTCATTTTGAAATATATTTTTTAAGAACCTAGATTATTATTTATCTCTATATTTACTTCCTTTTAGCAGAAAAGTCGCCAGTCTCTTTACGAAGATGACGATGATAAAGGTGATAAATATGGTTTAGGTCGACGTAAAAAACCTGTTAGCAGATATACAGCTTTCGCCAGGAAAGGTATACCAGGTATAGATTATCCCGTCAATGTCAGAATACCTCAGACAAACTTTGATTGTAGCTCACGACTTGGTCCTGGACTGTATGCTGATCCTGAAACAGACTGTCAGGTAGGTTTGGACAAAATAAGGTCAGATAATGAGATAACTATTTGCAGATATAACTGCCTTTATATTCATAAAACTACACTGAATTTAAAGCTTAGTAGTTACACAGCTGATAACTGATAAAGAACCCTATGTTATTTCTCTATCTATTCAAGACAGAGAAGGGAACAACAGTCAATGTTCATTGTTTCGAACAAACAAAATTCAAAAAAATTTTATAAAATTATTTAAATATTGATTGTTTTCTTACATACTGATATGAATTCTATAAGAATTTTAAACTATTATTACTTTTTAAAATTTCTTATNGGAAGAAAAAAAAAAACAGTTAAAAGTACATTCAGAATAAAGTTAATTTATCATTTAGATGTCTACTCGATAAACACATCCTTGAAAAAACAAGTCCCAAATATTTCTTAATCGAAATTTTTTTCATTTATTAATACATCAGTGATTGAATCAAAACTCTACTTTCTACGAAATACAATTAAGAATGATGCAAAAAATAAGAGAGAAGATAAAAAAAATACCGGTATTAGAATGCAGAAATATATTTAAATGTCCTAAGAAAGGTTTCATACTTTGCGGAAGAAATCTTTTTTCCTGTGTGTCTAAAGTACGCGATGGAAATCGCACAAAGTTCTATTTATAAGTATATTTATAACTTCCCTATTGTCGAACTACGCTTTAAGCAATAGTTTTTCACTCTTCGGTAGGAATTTAAATGAAATGATAAAAAAGGAATTAATTTAAATAATTCGCTATCGTTTCCGGTAGATAGGCTTTAATTATTAATAAATTAAGAAAATTTTCGATCTAACGTAACCCATTTTCTCTTTGGTGCAACGTAATTTTAGAATCTCTTCCGCAATTTACCAAATATAAAGTGTTTGCGAAAAATAAACCGGAAGCAAGATGCGGAAATATTTTATTATCTTATGACATTATACTATGGCATTATTTTTTCTTTCATTCCTGGATGTAATCTTAAAGCATTTGTCCTTTCGTTACGTGATCTATATTTATATTCTTTATGCATATAAATGAAACACCTAAACTAAACTTAAAAATAACACTATAGAATCCGAATATTTTCTGTACTTTATTTAGATATGCATATTAAGATAAAATCATAATCTTAATTAAATTTTTGATTCTTGTAATTATATATATCGAGATATTTATAGCTTATATTCTTTTCTCTTTGAAATTATAACGATATATAAATAAATTAAATAATTTATATGATTAAATTTTTATCTTATATTCATTTACAGAGGCAGAACTTTCATTATATAGGCCTTTTACAATGTCTTTATTACATAAATACGGATAAAATAAAATAAAAATTCGCTACTTATTTTTTAGAATTTATAGGTATTTATTGGATATAATAAAGAATAAAATCAAACTTTGTTAATTATCAATTCGACTATTATAATTTTTTAATGAAATTTTTTATGAATGATAATTTAACCTGGCCAGAGGGAAAGGCGGAGAAATGTTATTCTAGTCAAAAGATGAAGCTCTGAAGGGAGAAAAAAATAAAACAAAATAGCAACAATAATATAAGCTTATAGTAGTAAGACATTTCTCAAGTTATAGCTCCAGGCATCTCTCAGAGTTTTGTTAAACCTTTCGTAATCAGTTTTCATTGTTTATTTTTAAATATTATTTTAATCCAATAAAATAAAAATAAATGGCCTTATATGTTTAAATACTTATCATTTAAAAATTATATTTAACGATAATTAAAAATAAGATGTATTTGAAATCATTGTATCTAGTGTTTTGCATCCCAATGTTTGATTTAATCATGAATTTATGTTTTCTATTCGTAAATATATATAAAAATTTAGAAGTCTTCAAAAATCATTTTATATAATTTCAAAAACATAATTTACTATATATTAAAAATATATATGATTTTAGTGATATTTTATGAAGAATACTAACATTTACATACGATAATCCAATTTAAATGTTTATTGTTCGATAAAAATTAATGTCATAAATCGGATAATAGAATATTAAACTGAAATCATTTATGAATAGCTAAATTCATTTTTTTTCTTTTAAACTTTAGTTTTCTTTGGCAATCCTTTTAATTGTTAACTATTTTATAATTCTCCCCCTAAATCAATTTACTGGTATATTCGATTATTAAACTGTACGAAAATTTCCTAAAATATTGTATGTAAAGATTTGTGGAAATTTGAATATTCTTATTAGAAATCTCCATATTCTTCAACACTATCGAAAGTTAAGTGATAATTTAGGCGAGGTCGCGCGATTAGTACCAACTTACAACTTTTATCTTGATAGTTAACTATTTCAATGGTGTCAAGGTGAGACGGGTCTATGCACTGTGTTATAAGCGTTGTAATCAGTTCAAATGGCTCCAAGACAGGGAGTGTTCACCGCAAACAAAATATTAGCCTCCAGTTAAGTTAACAAGAGAATGACAAAAACAAATAACAAAGTACGTTATACTTATATTTGAATAGAATCTACAGAAATGACTATCGTAAGCAATCATTTGATTAAGGTACGTTAAGAGATACGAGAAATATTTTTTGTAGCAGCATTAATTCACGTAGATAGTAAATTAATCTAAGTAATTTATCAGAGAAAAAGAAAAGAATATTTAAATAAAGATCAGTAATTAATCAGTAGTGAATTATCGTAAAATGGGACAAGGTGGAAGTTGAAATAATGAATGATAAGGGTAAAACTAGTACAAATAAATCACTAAGAGAGAGTGATTAAGAAATTTGAAATGATTTTTTAAAGATTTATATTGATATAATTATGCTTCAAAACTTTCCTTCTTTACAAACTGATAATTAAATAATTCTAATAGCAGAAAATTTTTCATTTCCTTATAAAGATACAATAAAAACTGAATTATCATAAGATTTTTAAATCTGATTATATGAAATTCAAATAAAAGTGATAAAATATTAAATAATCAGTATTTCTACAAGCTTGTTTATAACTTCTGACCACTGCATAATTTCTTTTTTAATATACATTATATTCGTATTTCGCTTTGTGTTAGATTTCGACACAATCATTTTTCATTTTCTGTGAAGGTTCTTGACTGACAACTAATTTTGCAAAAACAAATTTACTTCATGAATACAATTCCTTTCGGTAATATTAAAATTTAATCACTATTTGCTACTAAAGAAATGCCAAAATTTTGAAGTTTCAGATAAATTAGAAAATTAATATTTGTTTTAAAGCATTTTCCTCAAATTAATTAATTCTAAATTTTTTTTACTATCCTCCTCATTTTTTTTTTAAAGTTAAGGAAAATTTCTGTTCTTTTTTTCAGAATAAATTATGAATTAAAGAATTATATTTTAATTTCCATTTTAATAATGATACAATTTTTTCTATCTTTTACAGTTAATAAACTTATTAACTTATATTCTTATTACAAAACAAGTTTATCATTATGTTTTTCAGGGTATGTCATTAAATAATTTCCTTTAAATTTAAAAATGCCTACGCGAGACATTTGCTTAGATTATTTTTAATCAACCAAAATAATCTTTTCAATTAAGAACAAATTGTAATTTTTAAGTACTACTTAAAGTGATTTGGCTAAAAGTAAAGTTTAGCCAAATCACGTAAAAAATTAATTCTAAATATTCATTCATAGAATAAATCAGGTTAATACTCAAATAACACGATGCACAACGAATAAAAATTGGTCCAAATCTTACATGAAAGACATAACTAGCACACTAACAAAATGATGTTTAACGATAGTTTATGGACAAAATTAATGTTTAAAGAAAAAAATCTAATAATAGAACAACGTTTCCTTTCGTGTTCAAATTAAAAATTAAAGATTTATATGCAAAAATAGATTATAAAGTACAAACCATCACGATATAAATTTTATTAATCGAATTTTTAAGAAAGTGGTAGGCAAGGAACATTTTTAACACTCTTACATAATTATACATCGTAATGCACGAATGCACTTCATAATCGAATTGTTATCATACATTCCTACTAACACGAAACATAATACTTTATGAAATTTATGATGTATTGGAATTGTACGTGGTTCTTTTGTAAATATCAAGATACTAACTATTACGAAACATTATTTTAAAAAATGGAACACTAAAGAGAAAACTAGATTTTACAAAGCTATATTTGTAAAATCAAAAGTAATCGTTATTTTAATTAAAAATTGTATATGATTAATAAATAAATCATTAAAATTAAAAAAAAAACTGATATAATGATGATACGGCATTTTTGAATCATTATTTCTGTTAAAATTTAAATAAAAAAAATATTATCTGTATTAATATTACATACTATAGTAATAAAGTAAATATAAGTAACTCATTTGTTTAAAATAATAATCTAAATTAAAATAATTAAGTATAGGTAATGCAATATGAAAAATAAAAATTTTTGAATGTTAATCAGAGAAATTATCGAATAAAAATTCAATGCCTTGTTTATATAAAATATATTCAAATTAAAAATTGCTACATGGAATTTTACTTAATAGAGCTGTCTCATATATTCTATTGTTAAAACTTTTTACTGTATTTTATTTATTTCAAGTATGACATGTATAAGGCTTTGTATTTTAATTTAGAGAGATTGCCCTAATAATTTAATAAAATGACTTTGATGAATAAAAAATAATTTAATAATAATAATTAAAGTTGAATAGTGAATAAAAATTTATGAATTAATCATTTAAGAAATACAATTAATTATAATATAAATACGGGTATACCACCGATTTTCCGACATCATTTGTTCCATAGCATTGCCAAATTATCTGTTTTGCTGAATCAACGAAGGTCAAGTAATAACAATTCAATAATACACTCTGATCCATTTATTATGTGCATCCTATGTCTTTAAAGTTCCATGAACTGCTGGAAATATTTTGCGAATAACTGAACTAACAAAACAAAACAAAAAAGGAAACTAAATATTTCTACCTTGCTTAATCATACATTCTTAGCAATATTCATGAAGAATTCAAGTAATATGATTTACTATTCGTAAATAAATTTTTGCGAGAGTGGCTTATCTGTTTAAAATGTAACTAGCCCGTCGCTAAAAAGCGCATACCATACATAATGCCATCTATGGTCACTCAATGATCTCAAAATCTCGTATACGCGATCTAGTAATTTTGTCCGGATGAAGAAAGTCGTGGATATCAGTTGCCGGACAATCAAATGTGTACCTATACATATGTATATCAGTAAAATGCACAAAATATGTGTTTCGTTAAAGTATCATTAGACTTTCACAGAGAAACAGCATAGTAAACTAGACAATACTTTTTCCATTCTCTTCGTTTCTATTAAATAAACTAAAATGCAATTTTTTAAATTAATAATTTTTAAAAAATCATAAAATGGATAAGTTTTAATAAAATTGTAAAATTTGAAATGAAATGAATTTACAATACTTTTACTTTAAATTAAATGTAAATCTTTACTTTAGACACAACACAAAAACTATATTTTCGATAAATTATTTTCTTTAAAATGACGAACAAATATGTTGAGATATCTTAAAAGCTAGACGTTTATTTCGTAAAAATATTTTTTTTTTTTAATTCTTGCAAACTTGTATAATTAAATTTAAAATTTATTATATTTATAAATGAAATTGTAATAATAATAAAAGATTTTTTCTGAGTTTTAAAGTCATTTATTCATTAATATTCGACCTTCATTATTGCAAATAACTTTTAGTACCTACAATAAAGCATTTATTGTAGCATTCTTCCTGTTTTTATTTACATTCATTATTCACTAATGTAATTTTTTATATATAATTTACGCAAATTTTACAATACAATATTGTTTAACAGAATACAAATCAAATACAGTATGTAATTTAAAATTTCTGAATAAATAAAATGTTCTAAAGATTAAATTAAACTTTATTGTTATTTATTTTTCATTAATTTAAATACTTAATATATTTTATTTAAATTTTTATTAATAAATTATTTCTCTCTAAATATACTGTTTAAAAGAAAATTATTAAAATGAGTGTGAATATATCGAGACAACAGTATATTAGAATTAATTCTCATTTTCTTCCAATGTTACAATATTTATTAAATAAAGCGTTAAAATATTATTCTTATTATTTGTTAAATAAAATTAAATATTAAAAAGATTAAATAATTCATAAGCTTACTTTCTTAATGAATTGTTTACGTTATTTAAACATTGAATTAATTTACAACCTTACTAAAATATAAGGAAAAAAATTAATTTTGAATTTTTTAAAAAATAATCTTTAAGTATAAAAAATATATTTATATTCGCAACCAACTTAAACAAAACTGAAATTAAAGGAAATATTCTACATTTTGTATAGTCGTATTTAATTGTACTAATTAGTAAAATAAAATAAGACTTCATAATTAATAATGGAAATTCCTGATATTACTATTATTTACATTGGTGTTACTTTCAGTTTTTACATAAATAAAAAATCAGGTAATAAAAAATACTGACAAAATATATTTCGCCACTAGCGCTAGCATTGAAATATTTGGAATATAAATGCTTATATTTTAAAGTTTTCAAGTCAAAAATCAAAAGATTGTTTCTTATAGATATTTAAAAGTATGTGAAACTATAAAAAATAATTCAATATAATATATCGTCTGATTAATTAACATAACTTTCACTGAATAAATTATTAAAATAGAAATTTTGCGTTTTCATTGATAACTATTAATAATTAAGGCAGCACTTTTAATAGAATAATTTAATTAAAAACACAATATTGTTTTTTAAATTAAGTAATTACTGTATTAGTTAAACATACATTAAGCTTATATTACATTTTATCAAATCCCTTCTATTATTTGTTTGTTCGTAGATTAGCTATTTCTATCTTGAAAATCGTTATAAAATCTTAATTAGCAACGAAGATTTGACATTATCTTTTAAGATAATTAATTGATCTATAGAATCTTAAATTATACTTATGTATGAAAATATATAGGCCTATATTATATTGAAAGTGCGTGCACAGTGTCTTCTAAACATAACTTCTAAAGATGCCATATTTTGTAAGATCGTACGTTATGTTGTCAATAAATCAGTAATTTAGTTACATTAAATTTATTCATGATTATTATGATTATCTTTATTGTTCTGTTTATGAATTATTGAATAGTGATTTGATTCTAATAATTTCTTCCAATCCTGACTTAAGAATAAGTACTTTACTTAATTGGTAACATTTTAAAGTATTTTGGTTCGCAGGATATTTTTTAAAAATTCTAAATATAGATACAGACTAGATTTTTATACAGATCCCTTAATTAAAAATGCTGCTATCCATTTGAACACAAACTCGAATCATTAAACAATTAAAATTTCATTATTATTTTTATCTTCTTTATACTATATCTTTTAATCGAATTTTGAGTAAAAAATTCATATCTCTGCATTACAAAAATGATATTTATTATATTATAAAGTATAATGATAAAAGTGTTAAAATAATGGACAAAAACAACATTCGAAGATCTTGGATAATCTAACAGGAGTAAGAGAGGATACCCAAAGAAAATATCGCCAAAGTCGGGACAGGATGCTTGATCTAAGAACATGACCTAAAAGGAAATATTTGAAATCATTCTTGTACTTGTAGATTATAAAATATTACTATCATTTCATCCAAAAATAAATTTGGAATTTTCAAATCTTTTGTGGGATAAGTTTAGCTTGTGTTTTCATTATGTCTCGCAATGTATTATTCTTGGAATTATCAATTATATAAAGTATTTATTTAAAAATTTATAAAGTAACTAATGAATGTGTGTCTTTATTGTGCTTTACCAATTATTATTTTTGGTTCTATTATATTTTATAGGCTAATATTAATTACTACAACTTTTCTACTTGTATGTTTACTTGTTTGTTCTACTTCTACTTGTTTGTTTATTATTTGAGTTTTATATGCATTTTATATCATTTTTATTCTTTTTACATTTCGTTTTCCATCCCTTAATCCTGCAGAGAATTCTTTAAATTATTAATTCATGTAAATATGATATTAATTATAGTGCTTTGAAATCTTAACTATATTTTTAATTGCCAAGTAATAAAATTGCTTTCAAACTTAAATATTTGCCTATGTTCAGTTGTTTGAAAATGCTAATTGTGTCCAAGCAATTCATTTTAAGTTCTTTTTAAAACAACTTAAATAGATCTACAGTAACTTTAATAAACTTTTATTTAAAATATTTCATTGCAAATATAAATAAATCATTAAATTATTATTATAAATAAATAATAATTAAAAAGTTTTTCTATTTGTTGTTATCCAATCAAACATTAAATTACTGTACTCTGTAGTAAAAATTTCTAACATCTTATTATTTCATATAAATATGAAGTTATAAATTCATTTTTTAACCGCCCTATTTACTATTTCAAGCTAAAACAAATTTTTATAACATTCAAAAGTTTCGTTTAAAAATTCATTAAATTAAATACCTTATTTAAATATTTTAAATAAAAATGCTTTTATTATTTTACTATTAAATTACATAACATATTAATTAATACATAATTTATTTTTAAAATAATTTCTACAATTTTATTTAAATTTCATATCTTTAATAAAGCTGATATCATAACATTAACAAATTCTTTAAAAAGTGTAATTAAAATTTAAATAACATTGAAAAATAATTTATTGAGAAACGAATAACAAAAATTAAATTAATGTTTCAAGAGTTTCGACAGCATTTTGCAAAGCGTACATTTGTTGCTAATATCATTTCTCTTATCCAACCCACTGTCGAATGCCACACTTGTTGGCGCAAATAGTTACGCCATCTTTTCTCAAATAATATTCTCCCTCTTCTGTTTTATACATAGTATTTCGTACGGGATATATATGCACTTCGATTACATATTTTAAATTTTCTTCATTAAATGAAATGCAAACGTCTTGTGTTCTGAGCACCGGAATAAAATTTATTTTATAATTAGTATGTGACAATTTAGGCTCTATTTTATTAGTCATTATATTATTTATTCCGCATCTAAATCCATCTCTTTCTGCACGAGTGGCAGAAATTCCTTTGATAGTAAAATTACTATTTAAACCAAAGTATACAATACTATGTTTAGAGGTGTTTAACATAGAACATAATAATTTTATCATTGTAAAATATGATATATTTCGTATGTTGTTTATTTCATGTTTTATCTCAAGTACATCATCATTATTTATATGTAATATATCTCCTGATAAATACACTTCTGAAGAAAGATCTTCTAATATTTTGGAATTCATATCTAATAAAATTGATATACTTGTATATTAATTTTTTTAAATTAAATAAAATAGTTGAAAACTATATTTAAAATAGTGTAATTGCTAGTAACATTATAAAGTAATATTTATTAATATATAATATTTTGAATTTTGATTATTGCGCGAAAGAGTCATATGACCAGTTTCAATTTTACCGACAGATCATACCCAATTGTAATCAGCAAACTTAACAGATTGCAAATGATATACTACGAAATTATACATAAAAAAGAATAACATCACAAAAACAGTTACTGAATTGGATAGCGCAAAGTCGACTGACACATTTCAGGACGCTAATCTGTATGAAAATGAGGAGAAAAAAGAGTTGATACATGACGAGTCAAAGAATTTCATTGAAGCCATTTAAAAATGTTCATTTACAATGGAGTGTAACATAAACTTCAGATTGTAGTTTTTTATTCCAAAATATAATCTGTTGTAGACATCGCTTGAGATGGTAATTTAACATTTTTTTGACCAATTCAAAACGCAACGTAATTTTGAGCTGGATACTTAAGTTCGCAACAAAGAAAATATTCGGACAGTAAGGGAATTTTCTGAATATGGTTCACGTCGATCATGTTGGCTCTAATCTTGTATCCTAGATTTTTCGAATCTGATCTTATAAGATATCAAGTTGCACCTTACAAAGGCATAGTTTGTGTTGAAGATGAAGTATGCTTTTTAAACTGAAATTATCGTACATCGTCATCTTGATCTGCGGCATCGAGTTTTGATAATTTTGTGGATTGTTTAAAGTTAAGACAATGCATTGCAATTGAAGAAAGTTACCTTAGAGATGTTATCTATCATAAATATAAATTGCTTGCTTTGTTCATAAAATTTTGGTCACTTCATCTTTCTCTTTAAGTTTATAAAATAAAGATTGATAAAAATCATCAACGATAATATAAATTTCGTTATTGTAAAATGTAAAAGTCATACAAAACTAATAAATTATATAAAATGTATATTAAGAAGTAGAAAATGAAAAATCTTTAACTTAAATCTTAAACATTTTCTACTTCTTCTAAAAATCTATTTTCTAAAAATCTTAAACATTTTCTACTTCTTTTTCTAGATCCACAACAAATAATTGAATACGTATTATGATATCAAGGAAGTGTTTAAACGTATCATCAAATGCGGAATAACTTTATATTAATTTTTTTATAGTTTTGAATTATAGATGATATTTTGTTGTATACTAAACTGAAATTATAGTATAAATATATCAAACATCCCGAAACAACGTATATCCTGAAGTATATAAACATCTAAAATAACAAAATAATAAAACAGATAAAAAAGTTGGTTAAAGGTTGCAAACGTTCGTTACTGTTAATAAATAATTCTCAGTGAGAGAAGGTGTTTTTGAGTACGTATAATTTAAAAGCAATTATTTTCACAGTTTTATTATGATTTTTTTATTTAAACAAGTTTTATATCAAGTCTTTTGGGCGTTAAGGTTAGCAACTTTCATCACGTGCAGAGCCATCACAACCTATCTAACACAGATCATTTTTCAAATATTAATAGTAGACTAGCATTAATTAGTAGGGATTGATCATCCTCTCTTCTAGGAGGAGGTCAACGAGTACTTTTGCTCGAATTACTTCGACCATCTTCCGCAACGGTCCCTTCTTTCTATCGAACCAGCGGTATGGTGGATTTTGGAATTGGAAAATCCAAGATACTGATTACCGGCTTGCACAAAATATGATTTAAGTGGTTTTCGACGGTGCTGAATTTAAATATTTAGTCCGTTTTTCAAGAAGTTTCATTCGTTGTCAGATGACCATTTGATATTCGGCTGTGAATGGAACAATTTCTTAGAGGTAACATTCGTAGTAATATAAATCAAATACTTATTCAAATTCTTTAGTACAGTACTTATAGTACGAAAGAATCTAGTATTCTTAATGTTTGTTGTTATTTTTTCCGAGCAACGCCGGGCTCTTCTGCTAGTAGATACATAAACAATCGCTTTAAATCAGTGGTTCTCAACTTTTCTGAGACCGCGGAACACTATTCATACACATTTTATTACACGGAGCATTAGCATCAATATATTCAAAAATTGATAAGCAATTCCATGTTTACTATTCTCGGAAAATAATGAATCAATAAACTAATAAACTTTAATATATTGAGTAAAAATTGAAACATGAAATTATCTACAATAGGAATAAATTTGAATAAATACTTTAAAATCTTTTCTTTCGTGGAACACTTGAGGTAGGTTTGCGGAACACTGGTTAAGAATCACTGTTTTAAATAATCGGACTATAAATCCGCTATTTATTTAAGGCGGATTTTGGTTGCGCATCTATAACGTTGTTAACACCGTTTTATATATTTTAAAATTTTTTCAAGATAATATCATGATTGGAAATTCTCTAAAATTCCCTCGTTACTTGTGACAATCAATTGGATAATAAATAAGAAATTGGAAGATCAAGCTACAGAAGTGATTCAGAAATAATAGTGATAAGTACAAGAAATATTTCGTTTTATACAGGTCCATAGAAACCGACGACCTGTAGGAAATTCTAGATGAGATTGGTAGATTATCGGTAGAAGTTAAACGACTTGATCATAATTTGGAATGGAGTTGTTTATTAAAAAGAGGAATTAATGCAGCGTTGCTGCAGTTTTATTAGCAATAATTAGGCCGATATATCGTACAATAATTAAACAAACCTGGAACGAATCCAAAGACAGATGATGATCCAGTCGAATTTGAGGATTCATACTCATGACCGTATTCACAAGTAAGGATCAAGAGTTAGAGTTGAAAGTTAACTAATTCACGTACTAAAAATAAGGTGAATGGTAGTTGGTTAATTTCTAACTCTTGATCGTTGGTTGTGAATAGAGCAGTCAGACATTTTTCTCCTCTAGAGCTATAAGTACTGTACATTTTATTACAATGTAAATATGATATTAATCCGTACATAATGTTTTTTAAGCATATAGGCCTATAAATATACTTTACGTTTTAAGCATATATGCCTATAAATATGCTTTACGTTTTATGAAAGAAGTACAAATGAGTGAGTGCAAGTTACAGTTGAATGCCGTGACAATAAAGCAGGTTAGGGAGCATCTTGGGGAGAAATGGCAAAATAAATAGGGAGATTGGAAGACGAGGGAATGCTTGTATGAAAGTGGATGGGGGCACAGCACGATTGGTTCGTAAGAATATGTTTCCGAAGAAGGCAGATATGACTGTGTACAAGGGTGTGATCCTCCAACTCTATTGTATGGTTGTGAGGCATGGATGTGGAGAACGAAGCATGAGAGCAGAGTGATTGCAGCTGAGATGAAATATCTGAGGTGTATATGTAGTGTGACAAGAAGAGATCTGGAGAGTAACGAGGATGTGTTGTGTAGTGCGATGTGAAAGAGAATGCGATTGAACGAGTACGTCAAAGATGTCTGCGTTGGTTTGGCCACGTAGAGAGAATGTATAAGGTGTGTATGAAGTTGTATGTGGAAAAATATGGAGGAAAAGAGAGGGCATTGAAGACCGAAGAAAAGATGGGCTGAGCAAGTGGAAGAGTATCTGAAAGAGAAACAGATTCTAAGTGAAAGAAGGCGCCGACTGTCTGAAAAAAGTCATAAATGTGAAAGAAGCAAAAGAGGCACGTACGGATAGACAGAAATGGCGCAAGATTGTCAAGATTGTGTGAAAGTTGGGTGTGTTCTTGGTATGCTATGTCCTGTCCATATGATGTTCCTCGGAGGACTGAAGCTTGCAGGGTGTTATGCACAGGAAAGACACTTTTTTCTTGGCCATCCCTTTAGGGAATGACAGTATAGTAGTTATAGTTAATATCTTAAATAAACTTTTAATGCATTTCTATGTTTCAAACTTTTTATGACAAATTTCGTTTTTTCTTTATTTTTTATCTTGTTTTTCTATCAACACATTTCTTCACATAATACTTTCGTGATATTAGTTTTGCAGCAATATTTTATATGCATAAATTTAACACAATAAGATTAGCCAGCGAATTGAAGACATAATTTGCGGATCAAATTCCTGTCTAACTGACATTGAAACCAGCCGTATATCCACTTTCTCTCGGCATTCTTGTTAACAAGTTAAGTCAAATCCTTTATTTAAGATTCACATTTATAAAATTACAATTTTAAAATGTTCTAAATAAATTATAATAGATTATAGATAATCATATACTTACCCGAAGGGAATTTATTTTGATTTCGTTCATAAAGAATGTTAGCTTCTTGATTCATATTCTACAGATTTAAATAATACATTTTATTATTTTATGTAAAATAAGCCAGTTCAGATTTGATTTAATTCTAAGCCTAATTCTAAATTTTCAAAGTTTAGAATTAAGCTTTTATTTAATATGTAAGAAACATTTAAAAAGAAACCATTTACATAACGAAAACTTCCGTAAATAGACAGCAAATAATATTAAAATATTTCGATTAGTATTGATATAGGAGAATAAGCGAATTTAAATTCGCAGAAATTTTTGAAATATGAGACTTTTCATTGGAAATTAGATTTTGAAAACTAACAATTAAATCTTCATCGGATATTAAGTCTTCATCAAATTTATTAGAGAATAGCCCGATAAGTTTCTAACCAATTAATCGTCGTCCTGCTTCATTAGTAAATAAATGAACGGTATCGACTTGTTTTTTCCTTGTTTTTCTACTGTAAGTCTAACAAAAAAAAAATATTTTTTATCTTATGATGCAAACATATTTTAATCGTGCTTAAACTCGTAGTTTTACTAAAGAATGACTTTTTTGAATCTGTTGTTAAAATTTCATGTACTTTTCTGATAGCTTCTCATTCTCTAAGAGAGATTGATATCTCTCTTAGCTGAGCTATATCAATCTCTTTCTTTTATAATCTCATGTTAATTTTTCTATTTCTTATTCTACAAATGTATGTCATAGTAAGTTTTAAAAAGAATACTAGAAAATCATTCTAATGGCGTTTCCATTCAAGCCATTTTCCTTGAATTAAATTATATTTGATGCGCTAAACATTTAACACTTTAATTCTTACTTTTCAATTTGTCATTTAATTTGATGAGCAATTCCGTTTTAGTGAAAAGAGTAAATGCTGTTAACCAGAAAAATCTAGCAACTAGTTGCGTAACTTTCCTGCTAAGAGTTGAAATTGTGTATGACGTCATTTGTTATGAACTTTTATTTAAAAATTTTCTATTATTATTAATTGAAATCTCTATTAAGTGCGATACAATTGGAGATATGACACATGATCTCTCTATCTCTCCGCCTCTTTGAGCTTTAACCACCAGAATTTAATATCGTTTCAATCTTCAAAACACAAACCTACATGAAAAATTTCAGAAATTTTCGACAAAAGACACAGGAGTTATTAAGCTTCAAAAGTGGGTGAATAAAGTCGTGCTCCCACCCACATACACAAACATCCATACATACAAGAGAAACCCCCAACTTCTTTTTACATTTCTCAACGTTTCAATATTACCGAGTCGAAAAATGTAAAGATTTTGGGGAGGGGTCATTTTCGATCGATAGCCATACTTTCCCTCTTTTACATAAGCCGAGAAAATAAAACAATTGAAGTTTTTATTTTGCATATATTTAACGTTAGATAGTGACACATTGCTATTTCATAGTTAAAAGAGATAAATTTGCCTTGTTTTGCTAAATCTATTATTATTAATTTATTGATAATAATAAATGAAAATACTTAAGCAAACAATAGTCTAAAAGAGGGTCAGCATGAAAACATGGTTGCTGTGCTCTAATACTTCAGATCACTTTCGACCTAAACTGTTTTTTTTTCATAATTTCTCAATAAATTCCAATCAAAAGGAAAAGATGCGAAATGTACTGTATAGTAGTACTCATGTTAATGAGCGAATGCACAACAAGGTAAATGGAACATTTATTTTAAATTTTGTATATAAAATATCTGACCGTTTATAAAAGTCAGTTCAATTTTACAAATGACTGATTAATAGTGAATTGTAGAAATAATATCTTTTAGAATTTACCAGATATTTTAGATTTAAAAATCATATTTCTAGAAAATTAAAATATTTTATTAATTTTTTTTTTCTATTGTCGTATTGATTAGGATTTCTTTACAAGAAAGGGTATGAAGAAATGTTCTTAGATTTTACTGATTTCTATTATGATCTACTTATGATAAATATTTATCATAAATACTTGTTTATAGGCCTAAATATGAAGAATAAAGATAATAATCAGAGAAAAATATTTTTCTTTTATCAATATTAATAAATTAACTTTAAACATTATGTGGCTTTAAACATATGACTCATCTAATTATTTTTATGACCAGTCGAGAAAATTTTTTATATTAATATTTTTAACAAAAAACGAAAAATATGATGAACTCATTGATGTATTTAGCTTCAATTTACTGTACTTTACTAAAATATGAATGCCAAATATATTGATTGATGTGAAAATATAATTTAAGTTATTTTAGCAGTCTATCATATAAATTTGTTCATAGGACCATTACCATATTTATGAAAATATTACTATTGTATAATTACTCAAATGTTAATATTAAGCTATTCAAGTTTAATTAGTCCTTTTGGATTAGTTAAACTTGATACAAGAGACGTATAATATAGAAATTTGAAATCAATCCATGATGATTAAATAGCAATGCGATTGTTTTCAGAATATGCTATTCTTCAATAAGTCGCCATTATAAGTTTTACGATTAATTTCATTCAATAGATCTAAATAAGTTTACAGGACGTTTCACGACATAGTCAAAACTGTAAGAATAGATTCCTTATTGGAAAACAAGTTATAAAGATTATATAAGCATATACCCGAATGACAACATCCGCATTTAAACAGGTAGCCTACATCTTGTTTACAAACAAAGAGAAATTTACAAGGAACTGGATCACCAACACCAGAAATACACATATTTGGATTCGAGAAAACCCGCATGCTATAGCGGTAAACTTTGACAGCGTTTTGAGATTAAGATATTGTATGTTGTTATTGATGGCCAATTGTTCAAACCTCACATTCTCCCAGTCCGACAGGAAAACTGTACGAATACTTTATACATAAAACTCTGCCATCCTTCTTAGCAAAAACCTTTTGAATACATGATGTCATATGTAATATCAGCTTGATGTAACTCTGTCACATTTCTTTCTCGGTGCCAAATAAAATTCTGCAGTATGATGAGAATGAGAACAACTATTTGTTAATTTATTGTAGAAAGGTAAAAAAGCTACTGTAAAACTTTACTGTAAAATAAATTGAAGTGCCATTTCTTAAAATTTAGTAAATTGTTTTTCTTTTACTTTATTAATTTATTAACAAATTAAAATAAATAGAACAAGTTAATAAATATTATATNGTTAAAAGTACATTCAGAATAAAGTTAATTTATCATTTAGATGTCTACTCGATAAACACATCCTTGAAAAAACAAGTCCCAAATATTTCTTAATCGAAATTTTTTTCATTTATTAATACATCAGTGATTGAATCAAAACTCTACTTTCTACGAAATACAATTAAGAATGATGCAAAAAATAAGAGAGAAGATAAAAAAAATACCGGTATTAGAATGTAGAAATATATTTAAATGTCCTAGGAAAGGTTTCATACTTTGCGGAAGAAATCTTTTTTCCTGTGTGTCTAAAGTACGCGATGGAAATCGCACAAAGTTCTATTTATAAGTATATTTATAACTTCCCTATTGTCGAACTACGCTTTAAGCAATAGTTTTTCACTCTTCGGTAGGAATTTAAATGAAATGATAAAAAAGGAATTAATTTAAATAATTCGCTATCGTTTCCGGTAGATAGGCTTTAATTATTAATAAATTAAGAAAATTTTCGATCTAACGTAACCCATTTTCTCTTTGGTGCAACGTAATTTTAGAATCTCTTCCGCAATTTACCAAATATAAAGTGTTTGCGAAAAATAAACCGGAAGCAAGATGCGGAAATATTTTATTATCTTATGACATTATACTATGGCATTATTTTTTCTTTCATTCCTGGATGTAATCTTAAAGCATTTGTCCTTTCGTTACGTGATCTATATTTATATTCTTTATGCATATAAATGAAACACCTAAACTAAACTTAAAAATAACACTATAGAATCCGAATATTTTCTGTACTTTATTTAGATATGCATATTAAGATAAAATCATAATCTTAATTAAATTTTTGATTCTTGTAATTATATATATCGAGATATTTATAGCTTATATTCTTTTCTCTTTGAAATTATAACGATATATAAATAAATTAAATAATTTATATAATTAAATTTTTATCTTATATTCATTTACAGAGGCAGAACTTTCATTATATAGGCCTTTTACAATGTCTTTATTACATAAATACGGATAAAATAAAATAAAAATTCGCTACTTATTTTTTAGAATTTATAGGTATTTATTGGATATAATAAAGAATAAAATCAAACTTTGTTAATTATCAATTCGACTATTATAATTTTTTAATGAAATTTTTTATGAATGATAATTTAACCTGGCCAGAGGGAAAGGCGGAGAAATGTTATTCTAGTCAAAAGATGAAGCTCTGAAGGGAGAAAAAAATAAAACAAAATAGCAACAATAATATAAGCTTATAGTAGTAAGACATTTCTCAAGTTATAGCTCCAGGCATCTCTCAGAGTTTTGTTAAACCTTTCGTAATCAGTTTTCATTGTTTATTTTTAAATATTATTTTAATCCAATAAAATAAAAATAAATGGCCTTATATGTTTAAATACTTATCATTTAAAAATTATATTTAACGATAATTAAAAATAAGATGTATTTGAAATCATTGTATCTAGTGTTTTGCATCCCAATGTTTGATTTAATCATGAATTTATAAGTTTTCTATTCATAAATACATATAAAAATTTAGAAGTCTTCAAAAATCATTTTATATAATTTCAAAAACATAATTTACTATATATTAAAAATATATATGATTTTAGTGATATTTTATGAAGAATACTAACATTTACATACGATAATCCAATTTAAATGTTTATTGTTCGATAAAAATTAATGTCATAAATCGGATAATAGAATATTAAACTGAAATCATTTATGAATAGCTAAATTCATTTTTTTTCTTTTAAACTTTAGTTTTCTTTGGCAATCCTTTTAATTGTTAACTATTTTATAATTCTCCCCCTAAATCAATTTACTGGTATATTCGATTATTAAACTGTACGAAAATTTCCT